AAATGTAACAACTAACAAGAACATAAAACATTTATTTAAATTGAAAATAATAGAATATTAATAATAATAGTAAAGATAAAAATATTAATAATTGTGGCTACTATATTTAGAGCTAAAAGAAATAAAACTATAACAAAAAACATGATAAAAATTAAAGATAAAATAAAGAAAAACAAAAAAGCATTAAAAAAAATGAGAAAGTTTAATATTGTTACATGCACACACAAACACAAATATAAAAATATATACACATACATGCATAGATACACACATATTTGCACATAAATACACACGCACGCGTACATGCACTCACATAGCTATGTATACATACACATATAGATACATATACATATACAGCTTTAAAAATATAAACATTTTTAAAAATGTCCAACTAAATAAAATTAAAAACATTTAAATTAAAAAACATACAATGCAAACAATGCACTAAATTATATAACAAAATTAATTATACTCTACAACGCCTAATTAACACTACACAAGAATACAAAAACAAACAACAACAACAAAAAAGACAAATGTCCCTCAAAAATAATGAAATTTAAAAAGCATTTTTTTAAGTTTCTTCAAAAACGGAGCAATTTTTATATTTTGTTTTAATTGCTTTTAATTACTTTTCGTTTTTGAATGTTTTTTTCTTTTAACTTTAGATTTTTGTCTTTTCTTTTTCTTTTCTCGTTTCTTTTTATGCTTTTTTTTTTTTTTTTTTTGTTAGTTTGTTTGATTTGGTTTTTTGTTTGTTTTTTGCTTTTTCATTTCCTTCTTTTTCTTTTCTTCCATCTTTTTGCTTTGTTTTGTTTTTCTTTAATTTATTTATAAAATTGTTATAAAAAAGCATTCGCCATTGCGGAAGTCTCTGCACTGATTAAGTTTTTTTTTATAAATTGTATAGCTCCTATGAGCTTTATGCCACCATCATTTAGTGAAGCTATAAGAACTGAGAGCCAGTCAATCTTGTGGCTAACATCACCAGATATATCCAGTAGAAGCTTTCCATCCCAATTTACTATTGGTTTACTACTACTGCTGCTATAGTTCTTTTGCATTTAATGTGCCAGTTTGTAACAACGTTTTTTTCTGTGTTGATGAACTGTGCGATTGTATACTCTATCAGCACTGTTGGGAAGTGATATTTTTTTGATTAGACACAAAGGTTTTGATTAAACAAAAATGTCTCCATGACTAGATTAAGACAATCCCTTTTCATAATTTTGCAAGGATTTCCAATCAACCAGAGGTCTTTACTCCAAGTAAGTTTAGTTTCTGAAATTTTTTTGCAAATTAAATAGTATTAAAAAGCTACAATATTAAAAGTTTATTAATGTCAAAAAAAATCTTCGTATATTAAATTATTTTAGAAACTTTTTATTGTTATTAAGGGTGCATACTCATTATCACTCAGTTACTAACTACGCAATAAAGATTTAGTGTGTATTTAAGCATTAAGCTAAACTATTTTAAATATAAAGTGTAAGCTATAACAAACCAAGTTTTATTCCTGCTATAGCTGTCATTTAAAATCTATGATCAATTATTTTAATAGTTAAAAAACATTAAATTTCTTAAACTCATAGCTTTTTGGCAACTGCATTATGACTTGGTATATGAAACATTATAATTACTGTAAAAAAATTCATTAATTGAGTTTACCAAAACCAGGCATTGCAGACATTGTAAAAATTTGAAAATTTTTATGAAAATTTAAGTATCTTAAGGGTGAGTCTTACGCATAAAAAATTTTTTTGACACTTTTAAGGACATCCTAATGTATATATATATATATATATATATATATATATATATATATATATATATATATATATATATATATATATATATATATATATCCTTATATAGTAGGCGAAAGTGACTTTAATGGTAAAAAAAGTCTATTTCAATGCTTTTTTTTAACATTTAAGTTTAAAAATTAAAATTAATTGTAGATTTTTTAAAAAGATATTTTAAAGGGATCCCAAGTGTCAAGACAAGTTTTGTTTTAATTTAAAGAGAATGATAAAAAAAAACGTTTGGGCAGAATTTTTTTAAGTAAAGCAAGTTTATAAATGTATACCAACAAAAACAAGTTTTGTTGTTTTACTTGAAGCTTGCCATCTCCACAGTAGTAATTTTCTCAAAGTCTTTAAAATATACGCTGCAATCTACAGATTTTATAACTCATTCAAGCGTTTTTAACTCCAAAGAGTTTTAGTAAATGACGTCATTGTAGAATTTCTATAAGAAATTGAAAACTCTTTTTTTTTTTTAAATCAAATTATAGAATTTTTTAAAATTATTATTATAGAGTACTAATTTTTTTAGTTACTTATTTTATATAAAAGTTTCTTTTTTATCATAAGTTTTTATCATAAGAATTTCTTTAGTTATTTTATTTTCTAAATTTCGCAAAGTTTGCATTAAAAATATAAGATGTTTCAGATATTTTAAGCTCGTCTATTGCTATTATTTTTTATGTTATATTTATTGTTATCAAATGATTATATCCTTTACACCTAACAGATTCTGTTAATAAATTTTTTTTTGTATTAACACTACCGCAAGCGGCTGACAGCGGCTTTTGATTTTTTCAAATTTTAACTGCTTACTGTTGGTAGCAGCTTTTGAGTATGCTTCACAATTCATCTTGTTTTGTATAATATATTTTGTATAATATATAAATAAATTTTCACTCTAGACACATATAATTTGTTTGTTCTTAAATTTTAATTAATTCTCTACATAATCAAGAACAAATAAGAGCCATATTGTGTTATTATAAAAGTTCTCACTTGACAAAGTTAAAAAATCTTGAGTAATTAATTCTTTAATTAATAATTTAAATAAATTTAAAGAATTTTTTTTAATCTTTGATTAAAAAAAACTTCTTTAAATTTAGTTAAAATTAAGCAGCATTAACACTTGTGTGTGAAGTGTTATAAGTAGCAGCGTTTACACTCGTAGAAGTGTATAAGTATTTAGCAAAATAATTAAAAACGTCTTTTTTTTTTGTCACAAAAAACATTCTTTTTATTCTTTAAATGAGTTTTTTTAGGACTTAATGTTTTAGTTACTATTTATAAAACAATGGTTATAAGCACTTTGCATTTCTTATTGTTCAATAATGCATGTTAAAAAATTATTTAAATAAAAAGCTCGTTTGTTTAGCTTTCTATGGATATATAGTTTGTTATGCTTTTAAAGAGATTTACTATTCAAATTTTAATTAGTTGTTGATGTTATGCCTTCCAAATTTTATTCAAAAAAATATGCAGTTGCAGCGTAAAGATTTTTGTTAAAATGGCTGGTAGCGAAAGAGTTAACCTTATGAAAGTTTAATTAACAGCATTTGTTCGCTAACTTTTTCATCGGGTACAAGTATTTTCAAAATTCCTATTTAATTATGCGAGAATATATTTAATGAAATTTATTCTGTAAAATATGTATTGCTTATTTTATTTTATTATTAAAGTTGAACAATATTTGGTCAAAAAGTGTAGCATTATCAAATAAATTTTAAAATTGAAATCGTTTAATGAAAAACCTTTTATTGTCAGTTTTGGTAGTTTTTTAATTTGTAATTTTAAGAGACAGGTTAATATAAAATACTTGCCAAATACGACATAAATTGTGAGGTAATAAATACAATATGTTTTTTAACGTGCACTGCAACACATTAACAATTTTAATCGCTAACAGTCTTAAATTATTGCCATAAAACATTAATTATTGCTTTAATTAATAAAAAAGCTGTCTGTAAGTTTGTTAAGTGTAAAATCTGTAATTTCTTTCTAACTAAAAATTTAAAAATTCATCAAATTTCTGCAATAAATGATGCTGTTTACCAAAATGATGCTGTTTACCAAAATTCTTTATTAATTAAAAATTTAAGAATTTGTAAAATGTCATTTGAAGAGGAGAACAAAAACGTCATACTGCTTAGAAAAAAAGTCATGGCTTAGAAAAAGTTATGACTTATAAACGTCATGGCTTAGAAAAAAAATTCACATTGTTTACAAAAAAAAAAAAAGATTCAGGTAATAATAAGGTGATCAATGGCTTTTTTGAATATTTATTATACTTTAACATAAAAATCTTTAATTTCTTTGGTTGTCGCACACTATAAAAAAACAATCTTTTGTTTAGCTTTTTATTAAATTTTTAGAAAAGTCATACAATAAACACAATTTTAAAAGACAAATAAAACAATAACAAATAATATTAATTCAAAAAAAAATTCTACAATGACGTCATTTACTAAAACTCTTTGGAATTAAACACACTTGAATAAATTATAAATTCTCTTTCCTATAGCCTGCTGCTACAAGAAAGTGCTGCTGCGGTTCAAGTTTTTAAACTTTTTCTGTTCTGGTTATTTTTGCATTCAATTTAAAACTACAGTTTATGGATGAAACTTTTTGACTACAAGACTGTTTGTATATATATATATATATATATATATATATATATATATATATATATATATATATATATATATATATATATATATATATATATATATATATATATATATATATATATATATATATATATATATATAGTAAAAGTGGTAAGTAAAAACATGGTAGTAGTTTAGAACATTCATAAAAATGAATGTAAAAGAAACAAAATTGAAAAGTTTTTTTAGATACTAAGCTTACGAATTAAACTGTGAAATAAAGATGGAGATAAAAAGATAAAGGTTTGATTGAGATGATAAATGATGAGATGAGAGGTCTTTTTTAATACACTTTTTATTGTTGGCTATTCAAGTCAAGGTTGTCTTTTTTAAGGAGGGGGCAAGGTAAGAAAGGAGCTTAAGTTAATTTCAGGCTCATTTTATTAAAATGTTATCAAAGTTGAGTTTTCCATACCCAAGTACATTAGAATCCATGAGTGTTAGTCAAAATTTTTAATTTTGACTCAATTATGATATACCCTATTGATGAAACTACAAGTTAAAATAATAATAGTAAGTTTTTTTTTAGATCCCAAGATTACGAATTGGCGTATACTGTGAAATAAAGGTCTTTTTTTACACTCTAATGAAAGACCAACAACAATTTCAATCTTTATATCATGAGTTGTCAGCTATAACTTATCGGAATGGAACACCTATTCAAATATTAGCAAAGTATAATAAGAAGTATTCAGATATTGTAGTGCAGAAACGAGGTTGTTATCTTATTTGTATTTTATTTTAATTTATGTGTTTCGCTCTTAAAATAAAAAACTGCTTTATATCATAACCCTAATCTTTTAGGGTTATGATATAAAGAATCTTTTAGAGAAATAATAGTACTATCATTGATGGTCACAAGGATATAAGTTTTAAAATCTGGTTAAATTATCTGTGGGAGAAAATCTAAATAATGAAATTCTAAATTTTATATAAAATCGATGGTATATATAGTGACGGGTATAAGTTTATAATGTCCAATGATACCTGAATTTCGTCACTGGATATGTCCCACAATTTTGCTTTTTCTACAAATTGTTGCAATTTTTTAATCGAGTTGGGTTTTCTTTTAATTTGAGATTCTGTAGTTTAGTGTGCCTATTGTAGATACTACATTTTGCATTAAGTAAGATTGTTCAGGCTTATGTGCCTTCACTATACCATACATACGAGGTGGTATCGGGTCACTGGGATAAATTTGCTGAAATTTATCTTTAGAACCAACCTTTTTTATTTAATTTTGATAGTTTGACTTTGATAATTTTAGTTGACCCAATTTGTTCTCGAATCTTTTTTATTGCTTTTTCATGAGTGACTGTTACTAAGGCCATTCCTTTATTAAATGGCTATATATCAACATTGATAACCAACCTGCTTATTGATTTAAAGTCATTTTATAGATACGTTAATGACAATCTGACAGTTTAATGAATTTTGCAAGAATTTTTAGCATGTAAACAAACGCAACTATGTTGGTCGCAAAAGTCTTTTGTTTATTCAAAAGTTTAACTACTTAATGTATCTTCATAATTTATATATTGTACACTTATATGTTATATATTACTAATTATATTTTTTATGTTAAATTTTATTTATTATATTAGATATATTTTTACTTTTTTTTATATTCTATATAACTTTTTATTATATTTATTATATTTTACAGGAATGTTTTTATTTCCTGGAGTAGGTTCCCATATCCATTCCTTTATTATATTCCCATTTATTATTACTATATATTATATTCCCTTTATTATGTTCCCATATTCATTCCTTTATTATTAAAATAAATTGTAGAATATTAAACCAAAATATAAATTAGTCCAAAAAATAAATTAGTCATGTTCAATTTAAGTTGTTGTGCAAAAGATCTCCTTTTATATATATATATATATATATATATATATATATATATATATATATATATATATATATATATATATATATTTAGCATTAGATAATTTATATATGTTCCTTAACTCAAAGAAGAAATGATTCTCTGATCCTCCAGGAAAATTGTAAATTTTCTTTTTTTTTTTTTTCTTTTTTTTTTTTTCTCTTTATTTTATTCAGGTGCCCCCGAGAAGTCCTTACATACTTATCACAGAGCACCGCAGATTCAAGTTAGTGAATTTTGCAGAAACATGATTTTTTACATGTGGTTTTTTTTATTTTGAACAATTTTTATTTTTGAATTTATATTTGGAACAAGTATGTATCACTTAATACTCATGCAATCAATTTGCAGAACCAAATAATTTTTGTTAATATATAATAAAATATGAAATTTTTTTTAAACAATTGCTTATAATAATTGAAATAACAGGGTTATTAAAAACAAATATTCAAGGTATAATTTTCAACCCTCGGTTTTCAATTTTCAACCTACCATTTCAACAAATTTTCAAGGTTCAAATTTTCAACCCACCATCTCACATTTTCTTTATACTTTATAAAAATTAGTCGCCTATATTACATAGACTACCTTGCAAAGTTTTAGCACTGATATCAAATAGGTTTTGGAGATATTGTTATTTTAAATGTTGTTGACATTCACAGTTTTTATCAGTCATAAAAAAAACATTGTTTCTTTTATATAATTTCTTATAACTAATGAAAAATTTTAATTAATTTTATTGAACCTTGACTCTCTGATACAAACATTTTTAGTAGCAGAGAATCAAGGGTCCATAGATGTAATCCTCGCCCTGGAATTCATAATGTTATCAATTATATAATGCCAAATCTATTGCAAAATGAAGGTCAAATAATTGAGTACAAACAATTGAGTACAACAGAGCAGAGCTTTTAACTTACACATCTACAGTAGGCAAATTCATTGAAAGTCTTTGTGAAAAGCTTAATAACTTAACTCCCACTCTTATTTGCTCAAGCACAAAGTAAACATTTAAATAAATTAAAATCATCTACACCGTTAAATGAAAGAATTGTTTTACATGATTTTACAGAAAATTTTAAAATTATCATACAAGACGGAGTCTAAAGTTACCACTGGAACCAACAGCAATGCATGCTACATCCTGTAGTTATTTATAACAAACATGACCAGGTTGCTAACAGGTGATCAAGTTGCTAACAGGTGATCAGGTTGCTACTAAAAGTCAGTGTCTTTATGTTTTATGTTTAACTCATGATGTTAGATTCATTTATTGTATAATTATAAAAACTGTCAAATTTGGACAAAAAAATGTCTCCCAATACTACAAAAAATCCACTATTTTTCTATTGGTTCTGTTGGTGCTGGTCAGTATACTATTTTTCAATTGCTTGTGTTGATCAGTATATTATTTTTCAGTTGGTTGTGCTGGTCAGTACAAAAAATTGCAAGCATCATTTAAATTTAAAAAAATGGAATTTTTTAAAATTTAGAATGGAATTTTTTTTTAACATCACATAGATGCAACATCCATGTGATGTTGCATAAAATGAAATTTTTTTTTGCAACATCACATGGAAAGTTACCTTGTGATGTTAAAAAAAAATTCCATTTTAAAAAAAAGGAATTTATTTTTAAAAATTCCATTTTAAGTTTAAAAAAGTTCAATTTTTTTAAATTTAAAAGATCCTTGTAATTTTTTGGCATTGATTTTTTTCAAGCACTAGTCTTAAACATCAAATACTTACAAATTCAGAATAGTGAAGAAATGTTCAACTTTTCTAAAGATAATGTATCCACTTCTCGTATTTTAAAGACAAAGATATTTTTTCAGTCCGTAAATCTTGGCTCCCCAATAATGCAAAGACCTTAAATAATGCAAAGACCTTACCTAGTACAAGAAGTTTCAACCAACTTATTCTGCAGGATAGTACAAATATAAATGTCAAAAAAGTCTCTTAGGAATTTAACATTCAACTTTACTTTAACTTTCTTTATTCAATCTTTAAGAAATTGTCACAAAGAAATGTTATATATGTAAATAATGAAATGCTTAACTGGGTTGGTTTCGTATCAGAAGTTGATGAAGAAAATGAGGTCACCTTTGTAAAATTTATGCATTATCATTTACCTAACACTTTATTACACTTGCCAAGTAGAGATGATTGATGTTGGGTTTTTAAGCCTCATTACCCATATCCTAGTTATAGCTAAAAGAACCATATCTTCAAGAACAGGAACCAAGTACTAGATAGAAAAATGATTGTTAATTTAAAGATTAGGTTTATCCAAAATCTAATCTTTAAATTAACTCAGTCATAGTCCACCAGTTTTCTTATATAAGTCATTTATGAATTAATCAGAATGAAGGTTCTCTGACTTCTGGTTTCTGATAGACTAGTTTCTAATTTAAAACCTGTATTTATTTAAAAGTCTAAAGACATAAATTTTGCATGTATAAAGAGTTATTTATTTTAACTATTGGTAATGGATTTTTTAACATCCAAGTGTATTTTTTCATTATAATTTGGTTGGTTATTCATGGAAATCCTTCAAAACCCATTTAACATCTGTGCTGAAATTTTGCAAGGTAGTCTATGTAATATAGGTGACCATTTTTATAAAGTATGAAGAAAATCTGAGATGATGGGCTACATGCCTGTCCCACTTTCTCATGGAATACCTCTAATGATAATAAATTATAAAAATTAATTTACAAATTGTTTACTCAGCATCAAATACATTATAAAACAAAATACTCATTATGTAGTTATGCATAATGAGTTAGGCTAATATTACCAAATAAATTATTAAATAAATTTAATATTAAATTAATGTAACTCACTAATAAATTGATTAAGCTATGTAACTTACTAATGACCAAACTGGTGAAGCAGGTTCTATATTCGTAGACAATCAAAATGATAGGATGTTTGTTAAGCCAGGACATAAGAGTTGGTGTTGTTTCAATGTCTAAAGATGTTGTTGCAGAAGTATTAGATTTTAGTCTGATTGATCTTGATATAAAAGGCTAATTGCTAAGTTTGTGATTTAATAGCTAATAGTGATTTTAATGCCAAAATAGTTAGTACAGAAAACAAAAAGGGAAGGCTTTTTAATTTCTTGTACCTAGTTGAGCCCATGCTATGAAAGATTTTTAGACTTTGAGCTTGTAATTTGTTTTAAGGTTTGAACTGCTTTAAGGTTTTAAGGTTTTGTTCCAATTACTATTGTCATATTGTCAAAGCTGTGACAAATAAGAATTTCTAATAATAGTGTAATCACATTATAATCAAAAGTTAAAAAGTTTTATTTTTATTTACTTTTGTTGTTTTATTTTTATTTACTTTTAAAACCATTAGAGTTATTTAAAATATTTATATCTATTTAAAAAAATATTTTTTTTTAGCATTTTGCTAAAAGTTTCAATTTTTTTATTATTATAGACATATAATTATAGTACTTTCTATTTTTGTTTAAATTTTTTTTTTTTTTTACATTTACAGTTAGTAACAACTCTTTTTTGTTTTTTAAGTCAGAAACCATAAGTTTGTTGGTGATATAGTTTCACTGCTTCAATTCAATGAGGTATTTCTTGTGTGCGAATGGGCGATAGATAGGTAATAAATGCTGCTAAATGTATAATAAAAATATTTAATAATAGTTATATTTATAGATCTAATAATTATATTTATAATTGTTTTAATTTTAAGATTTTATATTATTTCAAAGTTATTTTAATCTTAAAAAAGATTTTATCTTTGTATTTTCAATTTTTAATAAAGTGTGAATAGTATATATGAGTTGTCCGGACCCATATGATATGGCCCATAATGAGTCTATCAAATTTACCATTTCTATACTTGTTTTTGATACAGTCTTTTTACTACATTAATTTTCAGTAAATGGTAGGACTTCATTTAAAAACTTTAGGTTTAGGTTAATAAATAATTTGTATTATACTTATTTATTTTTTATTATAATTCTGTATTTGTTTGTTTCTGTAACTTTTTTACTCTTTTCTGCATACTTAGAGCTTATTAGTACCATAACTCCATTTATTTATTTCAAAAGAAAAAATTTGAATGCAACTACATTTGACTCTCTATTGCGTTAGATGCATATGCATTGGATTAGATGCACATGAATTGCGTTAGATGCACATGAATTGCGTTAGATGCACATGTATTGTGTTTAGATGCACATCCATTGTGTTTGATACACATTAAGGTTATGACTTTTTGACTTTTTAAAAAAAAATTAATTTCCTGTGTCATAAATCGATGAACTTTTATGAGAAAACATTGAAAACATGTTCAATTCCTCTTGGTTGTAAAAAAAAGGTCACCCTGTAATTTAAATTACATTTTGTCATTTACTTAATCTTGTTACTGCTACTACTAATATGTGTGGCTTTCCTGCAAATCATTTAAAACTTGTTTAGATTAGAGGTGGGTAGAACTTTAGAACACTTTAGAAAGTAACAGAATATTTTAGAAGACTTTAGAACATTCTGGAAAAATTTAAAACATTCTGGAACAATTTAGAACATTCTAGAACAATTTAAAAGTGAATATTTGTCTCTTTGGACAAATATTCACTGGAAGAAAAGTGCAGAATGCCTCACCAAAAGCAAATTATCAGACGCTACCATTTCCTTGGTCCAAAAATCAAAGGAAGAAAGGAGCAAGTATCGGAAATTCCCAAAAAAGTCATCAAATTATGGAAGAATAAACTGAATTATCCTATAAAGCTTGATAAAATACTGAAATGTTATGATGAATGTTTCAAGCGGTTGTAGCTACAAACTCCTTGATTAAATATTTGATATTATTAAAGTGTATGGAACATGGTTATTTTCCAAGGACAAGCGATTGTACCATCTCCAAGTGGAAAGCAATAGAACAGTGGGATACTCTACAGGCCAAGTGGCCAGTAAAGAAATGATCCATCTCTCTAAAAGACAAAAACTTTCTAATGAGTCATCCAACTCATCATCTTACTATCTTGGTTTTTAGTGAAGCTGACGACAGTGAATATGAAAACAATGAAGAAAAAGATGACACAATTCCTACACCAAGCAGAAAACATAAAAGCAAAATTGCAAGCAACTTGTTGACCTCCACAAGAGTTTCAACAAACGAAGCTGTTAACATATGCAAGTAATTGGCTCGTGAAGGCATTGACATCCCAACTCCATGTCAATCAGCTATTTACAAGTCAACAATCAAAGAGGCAATCAAGATAAAGGAAGAAATGATTGAAAAGTTGCATATGGAAAGTTGGTCCTTACACTTTGATGGCAAGCTCATCGACAGAATGGATTATCAAATGAAAGAAGAGAAATCAAATTGGATGTCCTTGGCTTGGTAGATGGCAGGGTTTGAACTATTGCTCAAGGAATTTCTAAAGTATTTGATGAATTTCACCTATAGATTTCAATAAAGATGATTGTTGCAGATACCACCAGTGTTAACACTGGAAAAAAGTATGGTGTTGTAGTAATATTGCAACGAACATTCACAGAGGAGCGCATCATCAAACCTTAGTTTATCAGTTGTCAACACCATGTATTATATAGAATCCTTTGTTTGGTAATGGATAAAGAACTTGGAAGTAAAAGGCAATCGCCAATCATCGAATACCCATTTGTATCTCAACTGTTGAAGGAGCACAAATATCTGAAAACACAGTTTAATAATGGAACAGAAGTAATTCTTGAAACATCAGGCTGGAGATATGATTTGAAATTTTTGTTTCATCTCACTCGAGTGTTGAGATTTTTTTGAGGAAAAGGGACATTTTCCATTGATCAGATTTCAGAAAATACCCAACATCAGCAATGCAAGGTAAAACTCCAGAGCTATACTAGCAATCTCAGCATTCATTTTAATTCCTTTAACAAGGACAGTTCTGCAGAGAGTCGATTTATATTGTATTGCTGGGCAGACCATTGATTTACAGACCAACTGTATAACAAAAATGACTTTAATAACTTGGCTGAAATACTGAATCCATACAAATTGCACCTTCGATTCCTTCTGTGCAACAAGCAAGAGCAAGGTCAACGGTCTGAGTCATTGTTGGATTGAAAATCTATGGTATTTCATGACTATTAATATATATATATATATATATATATATATATATATATATATATATATATATATATATATATATACATATACATATATTTAGATTTTTGAGTTTTCTGGTATATAGTTGTGTTCTATTAGTGGAAAGATACACTGTGGTAAAAAAGAATTAAAATTGCTCAATATTTAGAAGTCTCACCAGCCCGGAAAAGTTTCATATATGTTAATTAAAATTAAACTCCGCATAAATTTTTTCCGTTGGATCATTGGCATTATTCATAGTCTTTGGTAACCATTTCTAATTTTTTCAAGATTGTTTTATGATAGTCTGCCATTCAGAAGTTATATAAATATAATCATGATTTATCAACAATCATCTTTACAGATTGGTAAATATACAGTATTATACACAATTTACACTGTTTTCTCTATTATTTGTAACTTTTATAAAAAAATTAAGAAACTGAAATTGCTTATGTGTACTGTGTATAGTGTTTGTTCAGTTAATATATAGAATTATAAATGTGGCACAGGATAGTATAGCATATTATAAAATAAAACATAGCCAGTGTCAGCAATATGATTAATTTGTAAATTTTATTTAAAATATAAATGTTGAAGTTTTTTGTTTGTTTTTTTATCCTCCTGTATTTTGTTAACCCGGAGGAGATTTTTTAATAAAATCTGTGTGTTCAAACTTGAGTCTACTAGCCTAGGTGATGTGATGTTGAAGTAGTTTGAAATTATTTTGAATCTAGAAGAGTACAGTGTTTTTTGCAAGCATTTCTCTTTTTTCCAGAACCATCATCACCCAGTAAAACTGTATCTGTTGTGCCAAGTCCTCAAAACACAACTCCTTTCTCAGCTTCCAAAAAAAAGCCTCAGACTTGTCAAGCTACTGAGTTATTTGGGATCGGCCCTGCTATATGCGCAGATGATGGAACAATCACAGGTATTCAACTGCCAACTTGCTTACAAGTTTTAAGAAGCATGATGTACCACTGTAATGTATCAGTAAATAGTCAACATCCAGGATCAACTGGTGCACCATCAAGATTTACAACAGCAAAAATAGTGCTGAAAGAAATTGCATTGCTGTATGGAAAAGCCAACATACCGATGGTTACAGAAAGAAGAGCATGTGAGAAAATAATCAAACTCTTAGATGATAGCAACAAACTCCGTTCAATCAAAAAGAGCCGTTGTGACCAAGCACAAAGAAAAAACTGGAATGCAATCCATCGACATTCCAGCTCTGGCTGCCTAATGTTGAAAGTCTTGTCAAGAATCCAGAGGATCTTGCATTCCTCCAGTCAATGAAAGAGGATAGAGCTGCTAGCTTTGGTGCATTTGACAAGGTACTTGCCCAGAAGATAGCCAGGCGCCATGATTGCGATGTATCACTGAAGAGCGTATGACAGTGGTTGTAGGTGATGCATCACAGCTGAAGCTGCTCGAAGTTCCAAGTTATTTCAAGGTGACGGACATGTCAGTCACAGAAATAATAGCTCAGTTGACGGCGAAGCTGCTGAAGGAGTGGCGTTGTATTGACCAAGTTATGAATATGACATTCAATACAACAAGTTCAAACACTGGCCATCTGATTGCAGTTTGCATTGCCATACAAGATAAGCTACAGCATGCTCTCCTATAGTCAGGTTGTTGTCATCATGTTGGTGAAGTCCTGCTCTCTCACGTTTTTACTGACTTGAAATTAGAAGCATCCAAATCACCAGATGTCAGACTTTTCACAAGGTTGCAAAGCAATTGGGATCTGATAGCACATAATTCAACTCAGATAGTTCCTTTTTGTCCCGCTGATCATGACATCCATTCACAAGACTTATTGACTAAAATAAAGATTGAGATGATTGATCGTGCTACTAAAGATGTCGAATTTCTGCGTGATGATTACCATGAGTTCACTGAACTATCACGTGTTTCTATCTGCATCTAACGACGAGGTGAAACTTCAGAGACCTGGTGCTCTGCATAAGGCTCGATGGATGGCAAAGCTCATCTACAGCCTCATAATTGCACTCCATGAGATACAAATTGGAGAGCTGCCAGCAGGAACCATTACCACTAGTCATCAAGTAACCAAGGTGCGTCGTTTTGTCACATTTGTTACACATGTCTATGGTGTGTGGTGGCTCACATGTAAGAAGACTGTTGATTCACCATGGAATGATCTACAGCTGTACAAGCGTCTTCTGGAGTATGAAATTGTTGACAAGGATATATCTCAGTCTGCAATTTGAGCACTTAATCGTCATCTTTGGTATCTCACAGCTGAAATGATTCCACTTGCTCTGTTCAGTGAATGTGTTCCAATGTCAGAACGACGAGCTCTGGCAAATGCCTTGCTTAAGCTCAGGCCTGTGAATGTCCTAGAAGCTCCACTGGATCGCTTTGGCAATGGCTAGGGAAAGTCACGTTTTCCATTGTCCATCGAGCGCTCGACACGACTCTGTGACCTTGCTGGAGTTGATTTGTGGTTCACAATTAATCGGCTTCAGCTGGAC